AGCCGTGTCCCCTGCCGGCCCCCGTAATCCGGTCGTCCTGGGGGGATGGGTCCCTGGATCTAGGGCGGGGAGCGCCCCTTGCCCGCTGGGAGCCCCGCGAGGCTGGCTGGGCTTGCGCTGCGGAGCCTCCCGCCGCTCGGCGCCGAGCCGTTCCCATGCCCACCCCCTAGGCCATCGCAACTCCTGGGTGGGGCGGGGTCATCCCTGGTGCAGCACCCCCAGGTCTGGAGCCCTGGTGCTAGGCGCTGTACAGACTCGGACCAAAGCGCTGACACACTAAGACAGGAGAGAGCAGGTGGAGACGATGGGGGAGCACAAGGAAGTAACGAGACCGCACTGATCAGCGTGGGGGACAGGACTCAGCAATTCAGTTTCAACTGCAAGAGTGGAAACGTTTGTAGGAAACGGAACAAAACTGCTCTCTAATGGCGCAGGGGAGAGTCTTATGCTGGAGACATAAAGGATCTAGGCAGACGAATTTGCACAATCTCTTCATGAAAGAACCGGCTTGAAGATTAAGCTGTTGAGGTGAAAACAGTGTATTTAAATCAGACATAAATCATTTAACCTCCTATTCGTTCAGTTTCTGGAATTAATCAAGCTATATAAAATAGCGAGAGCTGAAAGAGAAATTCCTAAAATCCGCGTGTCACTTGTGGAAATAGCTTTTATACTCAATAGACTCTTAAGTGTGTATAATGGCATAAAGGCTTTCTCTATGGCATAATATAACTGACTTTTATCTGGTATCTCTTTCTCCCAGGAAGAGGAAGAGGAGGAGGAGGCAGAACTAGTGGTAAGAACTACTGAAGCTTAGAAACCTTTTCCACCAAGGAAAAACTGTGCAAGAAGCATAAATCTTTTATAATGGATGTGAAACTATGCTTGTATTTTATTTTATTTTTTTGTCATCTTTGATTAACCAAACTTATTCCAAACAAGGGGCTGATGAAATGAACATTTTACTGTGCAGCATACAGGGAATAGAATGAACTAATGTCTAAAGACCTGGTTTCCAGTGAACGTGTAGGTGTACACTTGTGTGTGCAATTTTGTATCGTGGTTACCATGTGCTCGGGCGTATCTGGTAGTGTATGCAAAATAAAGTGCTTGTTTGTACATGTGCAAATGTGTGGGGTTTTTATCAGTGTGTTTCTACGGGCTTGCTGATTATCTGGCCCTAGATATAATGTGTAGTTTATATGGTGATAATGCTTTCATTTTGAGAGCCATAGAGGCTTCTAGCACCACAAATGGTGGAGGTGTTGTTTTTTTGTTCATCTCTTTTTAAAAGAGGTACAGAGCGGGGGAATTTACCCAGCTGAGGACATGCCCCCCAGCTTAGGGCTTGGATGTGCATGTGTAGCATTTTATGTAAATGTTAGCTGTTAGCATACAAGGAAATTTGGTTTGAAACTATTGTCTGAACTCTCAAAGCCTATTCTTTGCATATGATTTGCATCTGACCACGTAGAATAAGTAACTCTACAAACTATGTTTGAGAACAAAAAGTCAGATATCTTTTAACTTGACCCTCAGGATCCTTTAACCACAGTAAGGGAGCACTGTGAGCAGACTGAGAAGTGCGTGAAGGCACGGGAGAAGCTGGAGCTGTGTGATGCGCGAGTGTCTTCAAGGTCCCACACACAGGAGGAATGTACGGAAGAGCTTTTTGACTTCCTGCATGCCAGGGACCACTGTGTAAGTCCAACGGAGGCTGATACCTAGTCATGTGTGTTGGTTTGCAATCTCTAATGGGACGTGACTGAATCAGTACCTTATTTCTGTAATACCTAGCGGTTACATCACACTCTTCCTTAGTAGATCTCAAAGTACTTTACAAAGGAGGTCAGTATCATTATCCCCATTCTACAGATTTGGGAAACTGAGGCTCAGAGGTGAAAGTCACCCAGCAAGCCAGTGGTAGAGGCAGGAATAGAACCAGGTCTCTTACTTCCCAGTCCAGTGCCCTGATCATCAGCCCAGACTGCATCTATAAGGCTGATGATGCCCTAAAAAGCTTTGTTTGATTGCAATATAGGGTGAATAAGAACAAGCATCTACTGAATCAATGTTGTTTTTAATTTTGAAGAACTCTGAACCTTGATCCTGTGAGGTGATTTTTTTTTCTCTTAAATGCTTATTTGTTCCTGCTTTTGATTTGAAATTCTTATCCCATAGAGTCCAGTAAATGTAATGGTTATAATGAGAGAGAACACTCGGGGGAGTGGTTTGGTTTTGGGTTTTTTTTTTTTTTTTTTTTAGAGGGCCCTGTGCTGATCAGTATGCACTGTAGTACTACTACTAAATACAGCTCATCTCTGAAGCAGATGGATTAATTTGAAATATTGGAGTTTGTAAGAATACTTGGCTTTAAAAAACAATTCAGTATTGCTTGTTTGTCAACCTCTAGTAATTGGTTTGAGCTACACTTTTGTAGCCTTCGTAAGTTTGTTTGAAGAAAGGCCAAGGAGGGACCATATAGACAATTAGAAAGTTATTGGTGGTCAGTGGAGACAATCTTCTCTGTGATCAATCCTCTAATTATGTTGCTGCTGTTTTAATGAATCTGAGATACAGAAGATAGGGACATAAAGATAGGGAAGAGAGGAGAGAGAGAATACAATGTCTGTCCAGTTCTCAAGACCTTTGTGTTGAGAGAACCTGTCAGTTACTGAAAGCTTTCTTCATCATGCCGTTTTAGGTGGCTCACAAACTCTTTAAGAATCTGAAGTAAATGTTGGAGCAAGTCCCACCATCTGCCTCCATCGTTCAGCTGGAACACGGTGCCGTTTCTTTTTGGATTCCAAGTGCTGCTTGCTGCCCGTTCTTGTGAATGTACAGTATAAGTGAGCAGCTTCCTGACTGTGCTGCGGTGATCCAGGTGCCATCGTGTCATCGCATCTATCGTCCATGAAAAACACGCAGCTGTAACAAAACCATCTTCTGTGGTTTTCCATATTAAACATATTCAAAGTTCCTGTGGAAATGGCTTCATTCTATGACTGCTTAATGAAGACTGTTAATTAATATTAATCACTAGACAGTAGGGAGGGGAGGTTTCCTCCCTGTTGTAGGAATTCCCTTGTGCACAACCATTACTGGCAGCATGAGGATCAAGGACAAGCACAGATCCAACAAGCACAAAGTTGGAACTGTGAAGAGATGATTTCTGGGCCCCTTTCTTATGGTATGTGGAGACGATAGGGCTACTCATAAATCTGTCAGTATCTCAATCAGCAGGAAGGCACAAAGGTATTTATGCCCCTTGTACAGGGGATGGATGTGCTACCTCCAGTCTATACTTAAGAAAAGGAGTAGAATCGTGTTTATGCAATACAAAAGGTCCCCATTGTTTTAAACACCCCTCTGACTTTGACACCCTCCCTGGTATCTCCCACTACAGCTAGAATTACAGTGTATGCAGACTCGAACCACGTTAGCAATCATGTCAGATAGGCATATCCAATACATTTATACAGCAGCTTTTTCACCAGAATCATGACTGGAAGGGACCTCAAGAGGTCATCTAGTCCAGTCCCCTGCACTCATGGCAGGACTAAGTATTATCTAGAACATCCCTGCCAGGTGTTTGTCTAATCTGCTCTTAAAAATCTCCAGTCATGGAGACTCCACAACCTCCCCAGGCGATTTATTCCAGTGTTCAACCACCCTGATAGCTAGGAAGTTTTTCCTAATGTCCAACCTAAACCGCCCTTGCTGCAATTTAAGCCCATTGCTTCTTGTCCTATCCTCAGTAGTTAAGAACAATTTTTCTCCCTCTTCCTTGTTAACAACCTTTTATGTACTTGAAAACTGTTATTTCCCCTCTCAGATTTCTCTTTTCCAGACTAAACAAACCCAATTTTTTTCTATCTTCCCTCATAGGTCATGTTTTCTAGATCTTTAATCATTTTTGTTGCTCTTCTCTGGACTTTCTCCAATTTGTCCACATCTTTCCTGAAATGTGGTGCCCAGAACTGAACACAATACTCCAGTTGAAGCCTAATCAGCACGGAGTAGAGCAGAAGAATTACTTCTTGTGTTTTGCTTACAGTACTCCTGCTAACACATCCCAGAATGATGTTTGCTTTTTTTGCAACAGCGTTACACCGTTGACTCATATTTAGCTTGTGATCCACTATGACCCCCAGATCCCTTTCCTCAGTACTCCTTCCTAGGCAGTCATTTCCCATTTTGTACGTGTGCAACTGATTGTTCCTTCCTAAGTGGAGTACTTTCCATTTGTCCTTATTGAATTTTAACCTATTTACTTCAGACCAGTTCTCCAGTTTGTCCAGATCATTTTGAATTTTAATCCTAGCTTCCAAAGCACTTGCAACCCCTCCCAGATTGGTATCGTCTGAAAACTTTATAAGTGTACTCTCTATGCCATTATCTAAATTGTTGATTAAGATATTGAACAGAACGGGACCCAGAACTGATCCATGTGGGACTTCACTCATGCCCTTCCAGCATGACTGAACCACTGATAACTACCCTCTGGGAACAGTTTTCCAACCAGTTATGCACCCACCTTACAGTAGCTCCATCTAGGTTGCATTTCCCTAGTTTGTTTATGAGAACGTCATGCAAGAAAGTATCAAAAGCTTTACTAAAGTCAAGACATACCACATCTACCGCTTCCCCCACCATCCACAAGGCTTGTTATCCTGTCAAAGAAAGCTATCAGGTTGATTTGACACAATTTGTGCTTGACAAATCCATAGTGACTGTAATTTATCATGGCCTTATTGGCTTCTACAAAGCTGTCTTGATGCACACCCATCAAGTGCAGTGTGAGGAAAATCTTGGCATCTAGCCCTTACTGGCTCAGCTGCTAATGCCAGGGCTGTGGGTGTCTTTTATATGCTGCAATATACTTTACAATCTTGTCATACAGTGTGACCTAAGAGGGCAAAGTGGTATAGTCACAGATGTGGTTAGGCAAGTCCTCCCCCTCGAAGAGCCAAAATGGAGTTACAGTTCAACAATAGTGCTAGAGCCCTGCTTGGGAACAGGGTTAAAACACTATATACCCATCAGGGTTAAATGCTCCTAGTGACTTTGGGTGCCCCACTTCACACACCTTAATGGGGACTGAACTTGAGGCTTGGTGCTCAGCACTTTTGGAAAATCAGGCTGCTTTAAGGTTTCAAGTGGGACACCCAAAACCACTAGTCATTTCTGCAAGTGTGGGCCCATGTTTTGTGGGGTCAGCTACAGCACTGACTCAGACTGTAGCTCTTTGTAGTACAAATGGGACTTGTGCTGAATTAAGATTTAAGGGAGCATCTTTAGCATCTAATAATTCTTCATACTGATGCTGCCACAAGTGCATTGTGACACTTCACAAGTAACTTGATGAATATTTTTCCCTCGTGCCTGGAGCTTCAAAGCACAAAATGTAAAATAACAGTTCTTGGATTTAAAAGCAGCAGTCTTTCTTGCTACCATAATGTTCTGTAAATCGATCAGTAATGGATTAAATGGAGCATCCTCACAACCCTGGCGTGGGTATGAGAGCTTCACGTTAAAGAAAATATTTTGTGGGCCACAGAAACTGAAAATTACTCTATTTTAAAATACTACGGGAGAATAATTTCTAGCTCATAAAGTGCTTTGAAGTATTAAACATACTGTGCATAAAAACTCTTTGCTGAAGGACTGCTCTGGTCATCGTATGCCTTAAAAAAATTCTTTTGGAAAAATTGCAAGACTGGAAACTGGATGGCTGGGTTTTGACTAGAA